TGCTGCTGCTGCTCTGCTGCTGCGGCAGCAGCAGCAGCAGCAAACTCTCCTCCTTCAGCTCACGCACACCTGCTGCAGCCCTAATACCCTCAGCACTGGGGCCCCACACTTCTGCTGCTGCTGCTGCTGCTGCTGGCAGACGTGCTGCGCTGCACAGGCCCCTTATGCTGCGGTGGCCCTGGAGGACGCCTAAGAGCAGCAAGAGCAGCAAAGGCAGCAGCAGCAGCAGCAGCAGCAGCAGTAGTAGTGCAGCAACTGGTCAACAGCGGGATAGGGCCAAGCAGCGCAGCAGCAGCAGCAGCAACAGCTGCAGCAGCAGCAGCATAATATCTTGGAGTAGCGCATGCAACAAAATCCCTTTGCTGCTGTCTTCTCCCAGGGCTAGGCTGCTGCTTGCTGCGATCTTAGCAGCAGCAGCAGCTGCTGCTGCAGCAACAGCAGCACTGAAGAGAAAACGGTCTGCTGCTGCTGCTCCGTCTGCTGCTGCTGCACGCACTGCTGCTGCTGCTGCTCCCCCTGCTGCAGCAGCAAAGAAACAGACGCATGCACGCCTTATTGCGCAACATCAACAGCAATCGCGGCGGCGGCTGCAGCAGCAGCAACAACAGCAGCACTGGCAGCAGCAGAGGCGGCAGCAACAACAGCAGCAACAACAGCAGCAACATCAGCAACAAGGACAGCAACAGCAACAGCAGCAGCAGCAGCAGCAGGTTGATGGGGAAGACACACAGCCTCTCTCCTTTGCTGCTGCAGACTTTGTGTCTCCTGTACAACTCGAGGTAAGTACTAAGGGCTGCTGCTGCTGTTGCTGCTGCTGTTGCTGCTGCTGTTGCTGCTGCTGCAGCAACGACAGGAGTAACGCTGTTTGCTGCTGTCACAGCCTCTAACTTCTGCTGCTGTTGTTGCTGTTGTTGCTGCTACTGCTGCTGCTTCTGCTGCTGCTGCTGCTGCTGCTGCGCTCAGGTTGCAGTCTCTCCTGCAGCACAGAAGCAGCTAGCAGCAATTGCTGCTGTCGCGTTGGATGAGCAGCAAAAGATTGCTCAAGCAGCAGCAAATGGAGCAGCAGCAGCAGCAACAGCAGCAACTGCAGCAACTGCAGCAGCTGGTGCACTTGTTGGGACCCTTTACGGTAGACGCGTGGAGCAGCAGCAGCAGGAGCAACAGCAGCAACAGCAGCAGCATAGCTGCAGCAGTGCCAGGGTGTTGCGAAACGCCCGCAGCATCAGCAGCAGCAGCAACAGCAGCAGAATCAGCAACAGCAGCAACAGCAGCAACAGCAGCAACAGCAGCAACAGCAGCAAGACGGTTGTTATTGTGGATGCTGTATTGCTGCTGCCAACGGAAGCAACTGTGAGGCCTGCTGCTGCTGCTGTTATTATTAGTACTGCTGCTGCTGCTGCTGCTGCTGCTGCTGCTGCTGTTATTATTATTATTATTATAATTGGGACTATTGCTGCTGCTGTTGCTCCTGTTCTTATCATTTGGACTATTTGTGCTGCTGCTTCTGCTGCTGCTGTTGCTGCTGCTGCTGCAGGCACGTGCACGGGTCTCTGCAGCAGCAGATCGTTTGGCGCAGCTGTTGGGTCTGCAGCGCGTTGGCTGTGTGAGCTTTGGGCTGCTGCAGCAGCAGCAGCAGCAACAGCAGCAACAGCAACAGCAACAGCAGCAGCGCAGCAGCAGCATGCTAAGGACATCGAGGACGTTTGCTGCTGGTACTGCGTCTAATGGAGAACAGCAGCAGGTAACAACAACAGCAGCAAACGCTGCTACTACTGCTGCTGTGTCTTCTTCTTCTTGCTGCTGCTGCTGCTGCTGCTGCTGCTGCTGTCGTTGTGTCTCCTTTTTCTCCCCTTTTCTTATTTTTATTTTTTTCTCTTTTTGTTTGTTTTTGTTTAGATTGGCGATTTTCCTGTAGAAGCATCTGAGGCATTAAGGCTTTTAATGCAGCAGCAGCAGCAGCAGCAGCAGCAGCAGCAGCAGCAGCAACAGCAGCAACAGCAGCCGCAGCAGCAGCAGCAGCAGCAGGTTTGTTTGTTTGTGAATGTAACGAATGGTAACAATCTTGAGGTAGCAGCTTGGGCACCATCAGCACCAGGTCAGGTGCTGCTGCAGCGGGGACTGGTGCAGCAGCAGCAGCAGCAACCATTGCAGCAGCAACAGCAGCAGCAGCATCAACAGCAGCAGCTTCTGCAGCACGAGCAGCAGCAGGAGCGGAATCGGATGCCATCCGATACATGCCCCGAGGCAGACAGCAGCAGCAGCTTTAGCAGGCGTTGCAGCAGCAGCAGCAGCAGCAGCAGCAGCAGCAGCAGCAGCAACAGCAGCAGGCCAAAGCATACGGCAGCGAGGGTTAGGATGCACTTTGCTAAAAGGCAGCAAATGCAGCGCGAAAGGCAGCAGCAGCAGCAGCAATGGTTAGAAGCTGCAGCAGCAGATGACGACGGAGAGCAACAAGCAGCAACAGCAACAAAAACAGCAACAGCAACTGCAGCAGCACCAGCAACTGCAACAGCAGCAGCAACAGCAGCAGCAGCAGGTGAGGTACCTATTAAGCAAGAAATAATTGTTGGTGGGCAGCGCATGCATTCGCTGCCCTTAGAAGCCCTTGTGTGTCTAGTTCCTATTAGGCAGACGCAGGAGCAGCAGCAGCAGCAGCAGCAACAGCAGCAACAGCAGCAGCAGCAGGAGATGCCTTTGTTCAGAGTCATTAATGAGCAGCAGCCGCCAGCAGCAGCAGCAGCAATGCTGCCGTCATCGCAGCGTCTCAATGTAAGTATCCAATGCAGCAGTCAGCAGCAGCAGCAGGAGCAACTGCAGCAGCAAATGCAGCAGCAGCAGCAGTAGTAGTAGTAGTAGTAATAGTAGTAGTAGTAGTAGTAGTAGGTGCAGCAGCAGAGAACTTGTTGCTTCCCCTTGTTGCTGCATGTGCTTGTGCTGCTGTTGCTGCATTGTATCTGAATGTGTTGCTGCTGTTGCGTTTGCTGCTGCAGCTGCTGCGGACAGCAGCAAACGACCGTGCTGCGCTGCTGCTGCTACAGGACTTCCCTTTGCTGCTGCACCTGCAGAGACACCTGGCGAGGTCAACAGACCTGCAGGCCTTATGCGCAGCTATTAAAGAGGCAGCAGCAACAGCACCAGCTGCTTCTGCTGCTGCTGCTGCAGCAGACCCGCTGGCTGCTGCACAGGGCAGCAGCAGCAGCAGCAAGGGACTACCAGGACCCCTCTTCCGCCTGCTGCAGCAAATTGCTATCGCGTCGACGCTGTAGCTCAGTGCAGAGCAGCACCAGCACCAGCAGCAGCAGCAACAGCAGCAGCAGCAGCAGCAACAGCAGCAGCAACGGCAGCAGCAGCAGCAGCGACAGCAAAACTAAAAACTACCACCTTGTCAACCTTATTCACTATGGCGAAGAAGGTAAGAACAGCAGCAAGGCTATCTACAGCAGCAGCAGCAGCAGCAGCAACAGCAGCGGCGACGCCGTGCTGTCTTTGCAGCTCTCATCTATTCTGGTACAGCAGCACACCCTGCTGCTGCAGCTGTTGCTACAGCTACAGCTACAGCAGCAGCAGCAGCAGCAGCAGCAGCAGCACGTCATAGGAAAGGACTACTGCCTTGTAGTACTTAGTTCGGTTGTATACTGCAGCATCTGCAGCATGCGCAAAAGACCCCACAGGAAGCGTCCTGCTGCTGCTGCTGCTGCTGTTGCAGCAGCAGCAGCAGCGTAAGCTGCTGCTGCTGTGACTTTTGCTGCAGCTGCTGCTGCTGGCGGAAAAGTACGTCTCCTCAGTTCTTGTGAGGGACAGTCGGCAGCAGGAGCAGCAGCAGCAGCAGCTGCGTGCTGCTGCTGCTGAACGTGCTGCTGCTGCGGATTATACAGGGAAACATTACTGTACATTACCTTAATTTTTGCTGCTGCTGCAGCAGCAGCAGCAGATTTTGCTGCTGCTGCTGCTGCACTATTCGCAGCTACAATAAGGTCTCAATTCTGCTGCACCAAACAGAGGGCAGCAACTGCAGCAGCAGCAGCAAGTGCTGCTGTCCTTGCTGCTCTACGCAAATAAGCTAAGCAGCAGCTGCTGTAGCAGCAGCAACTGTGAAGCAGCAGCAGCAGCAGCTGCTGCTGCTGCAACTTCACCGCGGAGCAGCCGCGGCTAAGCCTTTCTCTTAATAAGATACCAAACTCCTCCTCGTGCTGCTGTTGCTGTTGCTGCTGCTGCTGCTGTTGTTGCTGCTGCGTCTCCTTCTGCAGCTACTTGCTGCAGTGTATATATGCCGACCCAGGTCGACACATGGCATGCGCTGCTGCTGCTGCTGGTGCAGCTGCGCTTCTGTTGCTGCTGCTACTGCTGCTGCGCTTCTGTTGCTGCTGCTGCTGCAACTTCTGCTGCTGCTGCTGCTGCTGCTGCAGCGCTTCTTTTGTTGTTGCTGCTGCTGCACTTCTGTTGCTGCTGCTGCTGCAACTGCTGCTGCTGCTGCTGCTGCAGCGCTTCCGTTGCTGCTGCTGCTGCAGCGCTTCCGTTGCTGCTGCTGCTGCTGCACTGCTTCTGTTGCTGCTGCTGCTGCTGCACTGCTTCTGTTGCTGCTGTTGCTGCTGCAGCGCTTCTGTTGCTGTTGCTGATGCTTCTGCAGCGCTTTTGTTGCTGCTGCTGTGTTGCTGCTGCTGCAGCGCTTCTGCCGCCCTTAAAGTGGCTTACACCTGCCGCCCCTCACAGAATTGCTGCTCCTGCTGCTGCTGTTGCAGCTGCTTCTGTTGCTGCTGCTGCTGTTGCACCTGCTTCTGTTGCTGCTGCTGCTGTTGCAACTGCTGCTGCAGTTACTGCACATGGTAGTAATCTTGCTGATGCTGCTGCTCCTGCTGCTGCTGCTGCTCCTGCTCCTGCTGCTGCCTCATGGCTTGTGTTCTGAGGAAGTGCTCAAGTAGCAACTGCCGCTGCCTTTCTAGCAGCTGCCGCTGCTGCTGCAGCCGCTGCTGTTGCTGCTGTTGCTGCTGTTGCTGCTGTTGCTGCTGTTGCTGCAGCAGCAAATAGTCTTCTTCATAAAAGCGACACGAAGGTGAATGCTGTGTCTCTTCTTCGGAGGAGCCGTTGCTGCTGCACCGCTGCTGCTGCTGCTGGTACTGCTGCTGCTGGTACTGCTGCTGCTCGTATTGCTGCTGCTCGTACTGATGCTGCTCGTACTGCTGCTGCTCGTACTGCTGCTGCTGCTGGTACTCTTGCTGCTGCTGCTGCTGCTGGTGGTACTGCTGCTGATGATACTGCTGTTGCTGGTACTGGTGCTGGTGCTGCTGCAGTTGGTGTTGTTGCCTCTCATACTCGAGGTGCTGCTGTTGCTGCAGCAGCAACTGTTGCTGTTGCTGCAGCCGCTGCTGCAGCAAGCGCTGCTGCTTATTTACCTCTGCTAGCAGCTGCTGCTCTTCTTCCCTCATACTCCTACAAAAGGAGACATCTGCTGCTGAGGGGCACCCTGCATCCCGTTGCAGCAGCAGCAGCTGCTGTTGCTGCTGTTGCTGCAGCTGCTGCAGCTGGTGTTGGTGTTGCTGCTGCAGTTGCCTTTGCTGCTGTAGCTGCTGCTGCCGTTGCTGCAGCAACAGCCACCTGTTCTGCTGCTGCTGCAGCTGCTGCAGTTGCAGGCGTCTGGTCATACACTGACTATACATAGCGTTGCTGCTGCTGCTTGTGCTAGTAATGTCTCCGTCAACAACAGCAGCAGCAGCAGCAGCAGCAAATTGCTGCTGCTGAGGCGAAGGGTAGCAGGCAGGGGATGTAGGGGAAGGGGCTTCAGAGGCGCAGCAAGTGCTGCCAGTTGCATGCTCCATCGAAGGAGACACAGAAGAGCAGCAGCAGCAGCAGCAACTGCCGCTGCTGCTGCTGATGCTGCAGGACAAGCAAGACTTTGCTGCAGCAAAGGACAGAAAGGTGCTGCTGACACCTCCTGCTGCAGCAGCAGGAGCAAACCGTCTCCCGCTGCTGTTGCTGCTGCTCCTGCTACTCTTCACAGCAGCAACACTACCTGCAGCAGCAGCAGCAGCTGATGCAGCAGCTGCAGCTGATGCAGCAGCTGCAGCTGCTGCAGCTGCTTCCGTGTCTCGGCTGCAGCAGCATTCTGTAAGCCCGCAGTAGTCTTCATCCCCTTGGTATCTGCTCGAAGCAGCAGCAGCAACTGCTGCTGCTGCTGCTGCTTCCTCCTCCTCTATAGGACACCAAACGTTTGCAGCAGCAGCAGCTGCAGCAGCAGCAGCAGTAGCAGCAGCAGGTGCATGCGCTACAGGTCGAAACCTCATACTGAGTGCCTGGCAGCGGTGCCCCCTTAATTGCAGCAGTGCTTGCTGCTGCTGCTGCTGCTGCTGCTGCTGCTGCTGCTGCTGTTGCTGCATTTGCTGCTGGGCTAGCTGCAGCTGCAGTTGATGTTGCTGCTGCTGCCGGCTTTGACAGTGGTGCGTTTGCTGCAGCAGCAGGTGCTGCTCATGTTGCTGCGGTTGCTGCAGTTGCTGCAGTTGCTGCAGTTGCTGCAGTTCCTGCTGCAGTTCCTGCTGCAGTTCCTGCTGCTGCTGCTGCAGTTCCTCCAGTGTTGAGGAGCAGCAATCCTCTTCTGCCTGACGAATCATTTCCCATTGTCCTATAAGTTGCTGCTGCTGCTGCTGCAGTTGCTGCTGCTGCTGTTGGAGTTGCTGCTGTAGCTGTTGCAATTGTTGCTGTTGCTGCTGCAATTGCTCCTGTTGCTGCTGCAGTTGCTGCTGTTGCTGCTCAACGTAGATGCTGCTGCCATACCAAGCACTGCTCCCATAAGGGCGTCTACGCGACAGCAAGAAGTGCTGCTGCTGCTGCTGCTCCTCCTGCTGCTGTTGCTGTTCCTGCTGCTGTTGCTGCTGCAGCAACAGCAGCCGATGCTGCTGCTGCAGGACGTCTTGCTGTTGCTGGTATCCATGAGACACATCTTCTTCGTACATAGTAGTAGCAGCAGCTAGTGTTGCTGCTGCTGTTGCTGCTATTCTGCTGTTGCTGTTCCTGCTGCTGTTGCTGCTGTTGATGCTGTTGCTGTATTGTGTATCTGTTGATTCGCTCAGCTGTATACATGTAGATGATGCTGTTGTTGCTGCTGGTGCTGCGGTACTACTTGCTGCTGCTGTTGCAGAAGCAGCAGCAGCAGCAGCAGCAGCAGCAGCAGCAGCTGTATCTTCACGATTCTTAAACAAACCGCTGTTGCAGCCACTACAGCAGCAGCTGCTGCAGTTGCTGCAGTTGCTGCAGTTGCTGCTGCAACAACAGTTGCTGCTGCAACAACAGTTGCTGCTGCAACAACAGTTGCTGCTGCTGCTGCAGTTACTGTAGTTGTTGCAGCTGCTGCTGGTACTAAGTATGCTTGTATTAGTATAATCTCTGTTGTTTCTCCTGCTGTTCCTGCTGTTCCTGCTGTTCCTGCTGCTGCTGCTGCTGCTGCTGCTACTTCCTCCCCTACAGCAACCTCTAAGTAACATTTTATGTGTATATTTAGTATGTCCCTTA